TGTTGCGCCCCGAGCTAAGAAACCCCAAATGCACCCACACAGAAGCTTAGCATGAGATAAATAACTGCCCTTTCTCGTGACAATAGTATTCAGGGGACTCCAGATCATTTTGGTATAATTGAGGTGTAATTTCGCATTCAATCCAACAATTGAACGGTTCAGATGCGACCGCCCGCTGTTATTTAGAAAAGGAAACTTACTGAATTAGAAAGTCTATGCGAATAACTGAGACGGTTTTTGACAGTCTTTATTTGAATCAATAAGTCTAGACAGCGGGGTGCGACAACTGAACAAAAATAGGTTAAATTATGAATGATTATTATGAAAAAACTTTATTGAAATTAAATCTTAAAAGAGCAGTTAAAGCGAGCATTGAAACTGACGACGGTAAGTAACGGTCGGTAAATTTATTAATGACGACTCTTCTTACACCCTGATGAATATTCAACGTGACCTTATAGAAACCGATTTAACCCGGTCGACTACGGACATTCTGTAGGAAAGTTGTTTTTAATTTTCATTTTTACGATCATGTAACATTATATCGTTACATATCGATAAATGTAAGTAGGTGTTCGATATTTCCCGCTGACCTAATAGAATGTTCTGATATCGGCCAAGCATTACTTACCATTCGATGTTCCCAAGCTTGTCATCCATTTTTATGACTTTTTTATTTGGTTTGATGGTCGGAGAAATGCAATACCACTATCCTGTTAAGATCCCCATATTGATACATATTGCTGCTATAAAATATGTAAATTATTTATGTACAAGTCAATAAACGTCGTATAACAATTTTATTGTTTGCTTATGTGTTCTTGAACATCTTAATAATTACATAACTTGCTAATTTATTTGTTATACCTAATTAACATTTAATATAAATGCGCATTTCATTATATATATACAAATACAATATAATATCCTTAAAATTCTTCCAAAGTTATATTTATTAACGCATAAATTTATAAGAATTGAATATTTGTTACATGAAACTATCTAAAGGACCACACTAGGTATATCATAAAAGGAGGACGATATTGATATCCTATTAGTTTCATTTATATCCAAGAATATTGAAGGTGTAACATTACAATATATATTTGCATTACAGCATTATAGACTAAATAATAATATTAGATTTATATTCATAGATTTTCTACAAAGGTACCGTGCTTATGGCGACCACAGTAACTGGAATACTTCAGCACAAATTGGCTTCACATAAACATCAGATAAACAGGCTCCGCGTTTAACAACTCAAATAGGAACAAACAGTCCAATAAGAAATGTGAAACGTTTATAACTTTATAAAGGGTGTTCGTGTGACTGAATAATGAGATCTGATCGATGTCATTGTGCCAATTGTGGCAAGAGGTGATATTGTAAAAGTACATTGAAAAACGAAATATTGTTATTGTCGTCGGGCGTATTTAACTGATTGACACAAACTGTTTGGTCTCGAATGCGCCTGCTCGATCGCTTGGACCGATGAAAGTATAAACACTCGTAAAAATTATTTATAGTGTTCAGTACTTCGACAGCGAAAAATGTATATTATCTCGAACATAAATTTAACGAGAATGTAATAACGTTAAAAATTATTGCTTATTACATCATTCTGTTGTGAAGTGCTCGACATTATTATCTTAAACTGAATCACATGCTGCTGATGTAATTATTCTAAAAAATACATTAAATAAATCATGAACATATGAATCAATAAAAACAATAACTAATCACAACCGAAATAATAAGGATCTTAATCTCGGCAGTAAATAATAATAAAAAAACACTTGCTTAGCCAAACTATCAAATTACACCTACCGATTGCCATTACGGTAATATCCCTTTATAACTCAAACTAAACAAAACATCAAAATTTATGATCAGTACCCGTTGAATAAAGGACGGGAATCAAAGCGCCACGGATACCAAATAAAGGGCTATTCCCTTATAGAAAAAAATTCAAAAGATGTATAGATAAAGAAACTACTATTCATAAAGCACAGTATGAGGCATTCTCTTTATCAAATATGGAATTAGTCCTTTTGGAGTCGGGATTTCAATTTTATAATCACAAATATTTTGACACGTAGAAAGCAAATACAGAAAAGATGAGTAAAGGGATTAAAGTCGTCTCTTTGGAGTGTAATAGAGACTAAAGTCTGGCTTATCTCGGAATTAATCCGTGGAAATCTTATGTTTGAGAGCAACGTAGAGCCAACGTTATCAGTATCTTAATTTACCAGAGGCAGTAACACTGAAATCTCTGTTTAAAGCCTTTTAAGGCCACGCATCCCGTAAACTAGAATGACATCAAAAGCAAGCCGCATACTATGCAAATAGATTACAGATTTATTATGAGAATATAAACAATATCACTCCCAAAAAAGATACAAACTCCGATGCACATATTTTTAATAATTAAAATAAATTCAAGGAAATTATTTCGCATTAACGTTGCTCAAACTGTAGTTTGGGAAGATTAAAAATATGCATATACAATGATTATAACAGAAGGCAAAGTCACGTACGCAATTTGTATTGCAAAATTTGCCCGCAATCCGAGCTGAATTGTGGGGGTTTATATTGTTAAACCGGCATTGAGAAACTCACATAAGAATCCTTTATGACCGTACAAGAATGCCTAGCTCTATACAAAAACGTTCCAACGAGCCAGTTTGCATGCGAAATTTATTTTAAAAACTGAATATAAAGTTAGAACTATCTTTAACATGTTTTATCAATAAATTCTATAGTATGTTCATTATAGTTAAATATCCATAGTAATTCTAATACTTCAATAAATATCCTATACTTCAAGTAATCGAGAGTGCAGCTATATAACGACATATTAACACAGATCAGAGATGCTGTTTGTCATCTAACTGTGGTACGGTCAAGAGTGAGCTTTACAGTTAAGCAAACATGTATTGTGGGTAGGAACGCGACGCACTTCATACTTGCACGACAATAATGCATTTCATTGTCGGAGCGCATTTGCTAATACAGGTAGGTGCAAATGCATCTAATTCCGACGCAGCCTATTAGACTTACGATATTAAGTGGCTGCTTATAGATCTTCAATGTTTTCACTTACACCGAAACTACTTATATTTTCCAACTGTTTTGACTACAGTAAATATATGAATCGAATCTTAGTGGATATTTTTTTTTATTAAGAACTAAATTCACCATATAAAAGGAATAAAATATATGTATATTTGAAGTCATAGATGCTCTTGAAATAAAATTGGTTTTAAATATATCGAAAACGAAACGAAGTTTTTAATCCAAGATTTTGAATATTTTTGGATTTTTTGAATAATTAATATAAAAGTTGACTTGTATTGATTTCTTAGTTTCGTAACAGATTTTTAATTGATGAATTTTTTCATAACAAAAAAGAAATCGAATAATTTTTAATGATTCGCATCAGTTTTTCATAACTAATTTGTAGGCAATTTCATTGCATAATTTTTAAAATCGAGAATTAAATTTTATCTGATAATAACCAATAAACAAGAAGATATTAATTTTTATGGGATTAAATTAAATAGCTTTGAAAAACTGAACCGAGTGTTTTATTTAAAAATTGATGAATAACTCTAAGTTGGCAGATAGCGCCATCTAGAGACAAATGTTTCTAAGAAATAGCAGGGAATTTGTTAAGAAGTACCACGGATTTACAACAGATGGCAGTTTTATGAATATCTAAATAGAAATGAAGTGCTATGCAATAACCTTTTTCAACAACATCAATGATCATATACAAATGAACTAAACTATAAAATTCAATGTTATATAATTGAGATTAATAAAACTGCAGTATTAAAGCCACAGTGAGTTATTTAACTCTTGTCAGTTTTAAAAAAATGTTTTTTATCTCAGGAAACATGCTGCTAGTGTATCTTAACTCGCATTCATTTAATATTTCTTATATGCACTAAGCTATATGTATAGCTATATTATAAATCCTAAAGGGTTCATAATATGGATCTAACAACAATTAAATGGCTTCATAACTTTGATAATACAAGCAACTATGAAATTAAAATTTAGATAAAGTTTCGACAAATCTGTAATTAGCCCAGAACAAACCTACACCAGTAAGGCATTGGCACTGACTCACAAACAGGACCTCCAATATGTCCAAATCCAACAGTTATTACCATGTGTTTGTACTATCTGATTAGATTTTTTTTGTTATTTGATTTTATAATTTAGCAAATAGGTATTCCAAAAAAGCTCTCACCTTGCTCAAAGGAACTTTAAAACAGATAATTCTTGTACCAACTATAACGTCTCCACAAGCCTTATAGGCTAACCACCTAAAAAATAAAATATATTGAATAAAATACAATATAAACTTAAAACATTTAAAACTTATATATTTACATTACCTATCTGGTATGCCTGGACTCATATTATGTATATTGGAATTGATAAATATTTTAAAAAGGAAATATTATGTTTATTTTCCAAATGTTAAAACTTTTGACAATGTCACAAATCACATTTTGTATAGATAATAATTTGAAATGTCAAGATGCAGTCAAAAATAAGTTTCGTTCGATCTATTTATATCAAAATAAAAACTTCTAAATATAGGTTTTTGTGAGTATTTTTAAATAAATTGTTTATACTTGCTATCACATTTTATTGTGAATAGAACAAAAATCATCTCAAAAGTTTCAATATAATTTTTATACGTGTTATATAAAACAAAATTTTATTTTTAGGATTACTTTCTTAATAAGGATAAAAATTTACCTTTAATTTTCACATAAAAGAAATATAGATGGGTAGATAACCAAAGTAATCAATTGTCAATTGTCATTCGTAGTTTCAAGTAGGTTCATGATTTTGTATGAGCGGGGATCTTGATTTTGTTTCCATAGAAACAGAATGAAATGAAAATCAATTTTAGACTATTAGTTTTAAGCTAATTGATTAGACTCTTGATCGTTATATTAACTGTTGCTAGTATCAAGATGCACAAAAATACTATATGGTATAAATCCCTGCTAAATGCAGAAAAGACTTGTTTGAAAGAAGACAAAATAAAAAAGATTCATTATAAGTTTGACGATGGTAAAGAAATGGTCGAAGAGTACAATGTAGATACTCATGTGTTATTGCGAAGGGCCTGGAAAATGAAAGGAAAGTTGGGAGGAGAAGGAAAATGGGCAGTTGAAGTAGGTGATCCTATACCAGATGCTACCCCTATAGTCGATGGCTTAGATATAACTGAGAGTAAAGATCAGGTAAATAGAGAAATTCCTGTTCATTTTATTTAAAGTAACTCAAAAAATTACATGTTGCATTTATACAACATTAGATCCAATAATTTCAAAGTAAAATTATGAATATATTTTAACATTTGTATGAACTCCATAATATGTGTTTGAATAAAATCTCCAATATATAATGACCACAATTTTTTTTTATTTATTTTACAGCCAACTTTATTAAAACGTAACACTCGTGTTAACATTGAGTGGAGAATAAGAAACTTGCCATATCCCATTGAAACATACTCTATAAAAGCCAACAATGAAGATAAGTGCATTATTATAAGTACATCAAATAAAAAGTACTACAAGAAACTTGAAGTACCAGAGTTGTATCGGCTTGGCCTACCAATTGAACAAGGAAATATTGACGCCACTCACAAATACAATACCCTCATTATAACAGTAAGTTTAAAATAAATATAATTTAAATCAAGTATTTTATGCTCAAAGAAAGTTTTAATAGAACGTAATATTAAATTTTCAGTATAAAAAACCACAGCCTCTTCTGGATATGGATAGAGATTTGTATGAAGAAATAAGTAAAATAAAACCAATGACGGATATTCCAAATGAGTGTAAAACACAGTAGATACTGATTTCATTTTAACTTTATCATTATGTATAAGATTTGTCAATAAAATATGTAACCCTAATATAAAAGCTTTTTAACCCCATATCAATAAAAACAATTGTTTGAAGAAGTGAAGAAACATACTATACCACATATATTTTCATTCAGTTACAATATTTGCAGAAGATTAACCAAAGATACACATAATAACCAATATATGATAAGTTAGGATACCATAACCTTATTGTAATATGATATTGGAGTGTTAATGACCCAGGAATATTAGAGAAAATAAAAATACATGATTTCTTATAATAATTTTAATCATCATCCATAACAAGTGCTTTTGCCTGTTCCTTTAATTCCTCTTCATCCAATTCTTTTTCAAGTAAACCTCTTGCCTTGAGGTATTCACCATATTGTTTGGGTATTCCCATGAATGTTTTAACTTTAGCTCTTAATTGTTTCCAAGTTTCTTGATAATAATTCTTTTTGTCCCTTGCCATAGCCTTATAGTCATGTCCATATTTGTCTAACAGGTATGTGATAAATTCAACTTGTCCCTTGGGCAGCCTGAAAGATAACCAATGTCTATTATCAAAATAAATTTAAACATCATATATGTGTCAAATCTCTACAACTTAGTAAATAAAATACCATAAGAAAATTATAAAATAATAAGTTTCGAGAAAGCTTCTACAATTATCACAAAGTGAATGTGTTAAATAGTTATTTAAAATTATTTATCATACCAGGATACCCTTTTTATGAGGAGATAACTGATGCTTAAAATATCAAAAAGTTATCCCATAAATTACATATTATGTTTTTTACATGTTTTTTAACCTAATATTGTAGAATTTTTGTTTATTTTAGAATTTTCGTTCTTTTCAAATTTGGTTAGGTAGAGAGAGGAGCTTGGACAGTGGAGGTGAGTGTATAATGTGCGTTAGATAGGAGCCCCTTAAACCTACACCTGGGTCACAAGTCACAGTCACTGTTGAAGCTCCTCTCACTACTATGCGATGGACCCAGCAACCACACAGTGAATCCATTGAATGCTAAGAGGTTTCGTCTCTGTTAATGTTAAGGTTTATAAATGATGCTTACATAAATCTCCTCTCTCTTGGTGCTTTTGCTTCTGCTTCTAATTGTTCAACAACTTTAACCTTCCGCGGAGGCCTCTTTACTACTTCTACTTCATCTTCAGATTCTCCATTATTCACTATCTTTTTTGCTATCTTTAATTGTTCCTGTTTAAAATTTGGAATTGCTATAACCTTATTTGGATCATTTGCGAGACCCATTTCGCGTAGGTTTAGATGGGATGACTTCTTGTGGTTCCATGCTTCTTTGATAACTTTACTGGAAAGGAAGGTAAAGGTAATTTTAAACTGTATAGTGGAATACAAATTTCACCATAAAACATTTTTCTTCAAATATCATACCATTTTACTTGACCAGTACTGCGTAGTTTATTGTGCATGCGCTTTCTATTAAATGTGTGGTGATACTTTTTCTTACGATGTTGCTTCTTTATTTTCATCTTGAAATTTTATTATAACTAGTAGTACTTTGTCAAAATTTTAATTAGTGTAATAATAAACATTCAACAACTACTTAAGTTTTGTCAAGTGCACATGTTATTAAGGCAATCTGACAGTGTCATTCAACACACTTGACAATCATGTTAGACAGATTAAACATACTAAATATCTTCAAAATAAAAAAATATAATGTATTTTAAATTAATTATTAATCCTTATGTTAAAAAAAATATTATATGTTAATTTCTCATTTATTGGCGTAAATTAAGCAATATACAGAAAGTGAAAAACTGATTTCAATTGGAGTATTGTATAAAGTATAAACAGTAACTATTCACATTAAACTAATCAGTTATCACTTGGCAGTTGTCACTTGTAAATTATAATCGAATGTCAAAAGAAGCGTGTGAAGCGGAATTCTAATAAAGTAAATTAAGTAATTGCTATAAAGTGTAAATGAAAAACTATAGTGTGAGAGACAGTAAAATTAAGGATAGTATTAATACAGCAAAACTACTTGCTTTAAATGTTCATTTTATATCGAGGAAATTTTAATAAGTAAACTGTAAACATGCACAAAACTGGTGCGACACGTTACCAAAAATTTTTAAAAGCTGAAAAAGCTAAAACAAAACTAAAAGGAAAAAAAGATAAAGAGCTTCCTAAAGGTACAAATGTTACGAAGACAAACTTTAAAGTAAAAAAAATCGTAATCAAAGAGCAACTTAAAAAACATCTTCAATCAGAGGCTCTCACAAGCAGGAAACTAAATATTAAAGAATTGTTATCTCGACTAAATCATTTCAATACCAAATCTAGGACAGATGCTCTTGATGGCTTAAAAGAAATAATTACTTCATTTCCGGAAGTTTTAGAGAGAAACTTAGGACAACTGCTTCTTAATGTAACTCCATTAGTTCTAAACATTGAGAAACTGGTATGTATAAGTATACTTGTATAATTATAATAATAAGTATTCTTTGTATAATATAACTTAAATTATTTCAATATTTTAGGTACGGCAGGGTTCTTTGAAGGTTCTTCATTTGATACTATCAAATGTATCCTCGGAGAAGATAGAACCTTTTTTTGATATCATGTCTACATACTTGAGAAGCGCCATGACACATATTGATAGTAGAATCCAAGAAGACTCATTATTTTTCTTGGACATACTTTTATTATGTGCTCCATCAAAAGTAGCTCAAGATTTTCATAAAATAATACCAAACTTCCTTGATATGATTTCGAAATTAAGAGTGGATTCCAAGCCTGGAAGAACATTGACTGTCAATTTAAATAGTCAAATAACTACTGTGAAATGGAGGGTCAAAGTTTTCCAGCGTTTACAAGAATTCTTACAAAAGTATGAACTTGAATGTTTCAGCCATAAGGAATCACAAATTTCAAGTAACAAGACGCACAAGGTTGACTTAAGAAAGAAAAATTATTACACATTGTTTAATCCTATTTATACTTCTAACTGTTATATATCCTGTTATTCAGCTAAAGCTGAAAATGAACAAGAGATAGATGAAGTGGAGAAGTTTAAAGAATATGTTGGAACATTGACCCCATTACTTTATGATACATGGCTTGAGGCTGCCCCAAGTTCAAAGTCAAATTCAAACTTTGAAACTGTTATTAATGAAGAAACAGCCTTACTTTTGAAATATATTCTTGGGACATTTAAAGTACTTGGAAGCATACTAGAGTACTTAAACAAGAAATGTCCAAGTTCTAATATAAAAAACCTCTACTTCCAAAAAATCAGTGGACCCTACAGCCAGCATTTTGTTAGTTCATTTCCATATGTAACAAACATAAGATCAAAGCAAACATCTTCTGAAGACTCAATATCAGACCCAAAACTAGTCACAGAAAATCTAGAAATTTGCAAGCTTTTCATTATGTTTAATCCTAAAGTCAGTATGAAACACCAGGAGAAAGAAATAAAAGCTGTTATAAATTACATTGAAAAAATATTCAATAAAAATCATGAAGGTAATATCAATGACACTGTAATAAAGTTATTGGATTTATTATTTTCCAATGAAATCACTGGTTGGACCAAAGATACTTTGGTATTAGACAATTTGTTTGATAATATTCTAGTTGCTTATTCTAACAAAACTAATGAGGACTTTGGTAAACAAAAAGTATTTACTTTATTATGTAAAATAGCTCTAAATGAAAAGTTATCTCATTTTCATTCCAATGAAAATTTCAAGGTATGGCTTCAGAGTTTACCAAATATTTTACTGAGTAAACAACTATCAGTTCAAACTATTGATATGTTACACAAGTTTGCTGTCACCAACAACAAAATGTTTAATGCAGTTATAAAATCCAAACTTCTGACAATAATAAAAAATCTTCCACAAATTGAAATCACAGATTCAACTGTTGACAGCAATGGTTACCACAAATTGTTATCAATCTTTTACTGGGTGAAGGTGTGGGATACAGAATCATTGAATCATTTAGAGATGCAGTTAATGGAAAATGTTTACAAACCAGATCATGTGAAATATATATTTGATACTCTTAGATTAAGGAGTGGTGGACTTGTGTAATATTAATAAATAAAACAATTGGTGTTCATATTGATTTTATTTAAACCAACCATCTCAAAGGTCATGGAATATTTATATTATCAACCCTCATAGCACTAAGCTCCAGATATAGCAAATTAATTATTATTAAAGAATTATTTATTTTGTTCATGAAGTAGGCTCGCCATAGAAAACAATATATGCGTGAGTGAATTGTGTAGATTTCTTGTATGATGTTAAATTTCGTTACATATAATTTCAGAAACAATACTGAAAAAAAGAAAAACATTAAAAAGCAAATATTATTGTCATACTCGGGGCCTCAAAAATGACATCTATCAAAATGTGTTGCTTACATAAAAATAAACTTTAATATAGATATTAAATATAGCTTAGCAGTCAAATCAAAATCGCTCATTTTTAATAACTAACTTAATATAAACAAGGAACTGTTTCAGCTAAACATACACATTAGGAAACAGAACAATTTCTAAAACACTCCTGTAATATTCAAATTTGAATACAATATATGAATATAACATATTAAGAGCATATTATGTTGAAAAAAATATTTTTTTCACTACAAATGTTTTACTAATATTTCTAGAACGCCATAACTTTTAATCCATATAATAAGTGACTGATTCATCTCAATACTACATATCTTAAATACCTATATAAATTAAAATATGCTATATAGCTCTCATCATGTTATTATGTTCAGTATTTGGGTATAAAATGTTCTTATCTGTATTACAATCATGATATATTTCTAAACAATTTGTTTTATAATTTTAAAACTGGTACTAGCCAATATACTTATGAATACTAATATAATACACATGATTAATCTAAATATACGACATAACTAGATTTTGAGTCATCAATTTGGCATTTTTTGGCTAAAATTATAAAGAGCCAATTATAATATTACTACATATTCGTGATTCTGCAGGATTCATTGATACATTGTTTTATTTTAAAGTTTTATAAATAGAGACAGATTTTTCAACACATTATTGAGAATTATGTTCTCATAAACTGTTTGAATGATCTCATAATATTTGTGCATTTCATGCTAGAAGTTATTAAATAAAGTCGTCATTGGTAACTAAAGTGTTTTTATATATAGCTATAGATATCATTGCACATGACCATCAGTTCATATTTTCCAAGTAAACAAAATTATTTTATCTTTCAAAATATTTAATTAACACTCTAAGCAATCTGGACTAGTGTTGTTTGTGAAATAATTCTTGTTTTGGCATTAAAAAATAAATTACATGTGCTAGTGTGATCTTGTTTAGTGTATTAAAAGTGCAATTTGCTAGTTTGCATTAAATATATATATTTAACTAAATACTTTACTGAAAATAAAATAATTGGGGACATATTCAAGCTAAAAAATAATATATATATAAATGAGATTCATATAAATAATTAGCTTTTCAAACTAAATTCGCAACATATAATATTTACATGTAAATAGAATACCTATTTTGTTATATTTGCCTACTGTGGTTTCCTTTTATTAGACTTTTTAGCACGAGGTATTGTAGCAGAGGCCGACAGCATAGCCTGAAAATAAAACAAATAAATTCAAAACTACATGATTTAAGAAGCAGCCTTTTATCAATTCAAATATTATAAGTTACTTTTAAATACAATACATATCATATATCACCCAGATTTAGAAGTCAGCTAATAAATTATTAGTATTTTTAATATCTATATTATAATAATACCAACATTTTAATATATAGGAAAACCACACTTCATTATCAGTTAGAAAGTTAAAATATATAAATAGTTAAAGAAAGCATATAACAATTAAATTGAATATAAAAAATAAATCTACAAATAAATATAATTTATATAACACAACATGCAAAATAAACACAACAGCAACTAAAATTAAACATACTGTCGGTTTGCTCTGCCTCGTTTGAAATGGACTTGGAAAAGGATAAGCTATACTTCAGTGCTTTTGGATATTTGTACGTCCTCATATAAAGGTATGAATTTATATTCAGGATTACTTTCAAGTTTAGCTTCAATAACTTTTTGTAATTCATCACTTTTCTCTGAAATTTCTTGTGATATGTTATCTGTGCTTAATTTTTCGTCTTTACTTTTGTCGTTTTCATAATCACTTTTATGAATGGTATTCATAGTACTGCAACCTCGAGACTCGTCTTTTAAACTCTCAATAGAAGATTTCCTGCTTGAATCCGATGCGTCGGATACATTACCTGTTGTTTTATGCCAAAATGCTAATTTATTTGGTAGTTGTAACATTTTACCGAGAGTTGATATTGCTTTTGGACCGGGCGATTTGGATTTATGTCTTTTCTTGTCATGTTTGTCGTCTAAATTTAACGAGGAATTTGAAGCATTATTAAACTCCAACTTTAAATCACTAGCTTCAGTGGCTATTTCTGATTCAGTTACATTAAAATCTGCAGTAACTTTTTCATTGTCTTCTATTATAGGCACATCTACGACCTCATCACTTTTTTCATTGTTTTCAATAGATTGAGTAATTTCAGTAAGAATTGGTAAATTTTCCGAACTTTCGTCATGGATTTCTTGTTTATCATCCAAAACTTTATTACTAGGCGGCATAGGTGCCTTGTCTTTGCCATATTTGCCTTTTGATGTTTTACGGATACTTTTAGGCGTGGATGCTGGCGTTCCGAACGATCCTTCATCACTCTCAATAGATGTCGGGGTTTCAAAGGAACTTTCGTCACTTTCAACTGTATTATTAATTTTAGGATCATCCTCATTATTAAGTTCAGTAATTTCGACAATGCTTTTTTCACCCATATTTTCAATGAATTCATTTTCTGCATTAACGTTTTCAGTATTAAAAATATTTACACAATCATTATTTTGGCTAATCATGTCATTTTTATTGTCTTTGAATTCTACTTGTACAGGAATGTTTGTCACGTTAAAATCTTTTATAACATTTTCATTATCATTCTTATATTCGGCGTCTAATTTTTGTGACGTTTCGTCAACAGTTTCTTTTTGGTCCCGTGAATCTGGATGATTAATTTTTGTATCAAATTCATTGCTCAGTGGATAATTACCTAATACTTGTATAATATTAACCTGATCTCCTACATATTGGTATATGAAAGGTGGATTTGTGTGGGATAAATAAAGGGGGGATGAGATACGGTGATTATTGGAATTGTCATATATATCGTCGTAGGGAAGCTCCTCGATGACTTCATTGTCCTTTAAAATAAATATTAACTTAAGTTTGAATTCAAAAACAATTAAACTAAAAGCAAAACAATATATTATAAATGTGATAAATAACATTTTAATTGTTAACGATAGAGTAATGTTCTGTAGAGTAATATATTTATATATAATTATTATATTATGTTTTTAGTTCCAATGTAATATGCCAAGTTATTTATTATTTTTTAATATCATTTAATGTAATTAATATAATCACTATGTTATGATAAAGTTAATATTATATATAGGAACTAAATGTCATGATATATATTGTCTTAAGAATACTATGTCAAGTCTTCCAATTCATTATCCCTTGCAACCTCAGCCAGCACCAAGCCTACCCTGACTATTCTAAAACTACTCAACATATGACCATTTATTATAAATATAAATATCATTTATAAATTAATTATTATCATATACAAATTAATTTAAATACAAGTCACAAGAATATGTCGAATTAAAGGAAAATATACCTACATTCATCAGATTTGGAAAATCATTCATAACTAATAATATAAATATAGTAGGACAGTCGTAATTTTAGTTGTTTCAAGATAGCTAACTTAAAAATACTATTCCAAAGAACAAGATTATGATAACACTAGCTATGACGCGACATAATTTTAACTTATTCTTGTCAGATAATACTTTGCCTTAAAATTTTTAGCTTAAACGCGAAAAGGAGTCTGCTGATCATAACAATTACATATTGTGTCCATACTGTTATGATAATATTCAAAACATTAGCGAATACTTTTTAAAAATGATATAAGCCACATTGATAAGTAGTACGTACTCTTTGGCTCAAAAGCTACTTAAATATATTTCAATATATCCTACCATATATTTAAAAAGATTAAAGTTATGCAATTGATATTACTCGTTACTCATTTGAAAATAACACAGCGCTTCACTGCATACCTTTTTAATTTAGGAGCGTTCGTTATTATTTCGTCTCTAAGTTATATTATAACTTAATTTTATAACACTAACTTTAAAAGCAATTAAATGCAAACAATATTAATGTTCACCGTAAGAATGTATTGTTATCGACTTAATTTCTGAGCGTGTCTTCTATATCAGAATTAATGACATATGACAGTTAGTAACTGTCATGCAAATGACAGATAGTGAGTGTTATAAACATCGACTTATACTAATGGACATATACGCGTATAATCTGCAGTAATATTTTGGTTTGAAAAGAGAGAGATGGCCTATGCTTTGATAGCACTATTTCTTTCTTCATAAATGATTGGCGCTCAGTTTTCATTACAAGCATATAAATTTGAGAGTGATAAAGATAGACCGAAACTTCGTGTTCTTTCTTTCGGAGTGCCACAATTCTCTCTAAGGCATGTCCATTAGTATAAGTCGATGGTTATACTCGTAAATCATAATGTTTAATGATAAATGCTATGATTCCATGAGATCCGTTCTTCGTGTGTTATATATTGTTACCAGACCTCAGCGGCCTGCGGTCTCTTGATTGACGTGATTGTAGTTCGTGTGACGCGACGGGAACGAGCTCCCGCAGATGAAGTGCGGCTCAAACAAGACGAGTTCTCCGCTGATGAGTAGCCGGAACTAATGTCTTCACTGGATTTTATGTGACTGGAAATGTAATTTGTAAAATAAGCTTCCTTTTTAACATCAAAGCCGCCAATTTTTGTTACAATACAAATAGATAATGGGGTATTAAAGATTAAGGAATTCAGAATTGAAATTTCGAAACTACGTCTTCTAGAACATCTGCTTTTAGCTCACTTTAATTCTATAGGTATTGAAGTCTAATAAAAGGAATCAGTCTGTGTTAGTCGTGAATAAAATAATTTTTGGGGCTTTAACAAGGCGGGAAAATCCCTACTAATATTATAAATGCGAAAGAAACTCTGTCTATCTGTTACACTTTCACACCTAAACCACTGAATTGATTTTAATGAAATTTGATACAGATACAGAGTTGACCTTGAGAAAGAACATAGGATAGTTTTTATCCCAGACTTTTGAAAGGTTCTCTTGGAAACGCGATATAACTGAACTCTACGCGGGCGAAGCTGCGGGCGGAAAGCTAGTATTAATATAATATCTAATATAATGTTTATATTAATATTATACTATTTTTTTATTTGTTCAGAGTCCGGCATAGGACGTAATTAAGAACTTAAATATAGTATAACGGCTAATAGCTGATGTAATAAACTCAGTTACAATTTGAAAAATATATATATCAAGGTAGTAAGTATAGATTTCCAAAAAGATTACTCGAGTCCTGAATAATAGTGATAGGTGAAACGTTATTAAACTTGTTTGCAATTACTACTTGACAAGGAATATAAATTTTATTTAAGTATGTAGTTAAACAGCCATTTGAAATCTTTTATTCATTAAAAAATAACCAAGGCTGAATCATTTTGTATTTAAAAGATAATTCTTCTATTTATACACTTTACTGTAGGCTAACTTAGTAAAGTGACGTATTTTTGCTTTTAACTAGACATTTAAGACATCTACATAAAAAAAATAAATTCTTTGTTTGTTTGTCTGTTAATTAGCTTTAATATATAAATATATATGTTATACCTGAAATCAGGTTCGTCAACCCGCCTGGGTCCACGCACGTCAACATCTACTTCAGGGAAATATATCGGCGTACGACTGTTTGATTCTGACGCGCTGCGACGAGTCGCGAAACCACTGAACAAAATACGTGAATACATTATATTAACTAACGCACCAATAGGAGACTAGTATTTAATTTAAAAATGGAACAACTTATTGTTTGAAAGAAGTTCGAAGGTGAATTATTGGTAAAGTATTTATATCCTATTAGACCCGTGCCGATAGCTTTTAAAACATAATTAAATTATAGTAGAATGAAACCCATTAGAAAAGGAGGGAAATATTATAAAAATTAAGGAAAAAATAATTTACGGGCGATCTGAGGTCGGGAAGGGTACGGGCGTGGCTATTAAAGGGTAAAAAATGGGATTTCTCGATTTCCAGAAAAACTAAGAGTCCTAATGAAAAATGTTATATGGCAAAGTTGTAGGTAATAAAAAGATCTAAAACTTTTGTACTAACATTTTTTTCACATAACCTTAAATTTTATGTAAAAAATTCGAAAAACCAAGTTTTTGATTTTTCATTTTTATCTCTTACAAAAAACAATATTTTGTCACGAAATTTTGTGAAAACTTTCCTTTTGATATCCCAAATACACTGTAATTTATTTGATCAGAAATATTTATTTTTTCAGCTTATTTTGAACAAATATCAAAAAATCAGCCTCATTTTCAATCGAAAAATCACCCGTCAAAATATTAGCGTTTTTCAAAAGTTTTGTGTTTTTTCTGTTCGTTGAAATTTCAATTTTCCGATGAAGAAGAAAAAAATATAAATTTCTAACTTGCAGTACCATTTTTGGATAAAATAATCATGTCCCTTTTAATGAAATGACACTCGATATCGTTTCGAAAATGCTCTTTCAATTTATTTTTAATAGTTTTAGCAGCTTAATGTCAATTTTCTGTAAATTACCTAAAAGAAGGACTATCTGGAGAATTTCCAGAGTACAAAACTATTAAAAATAAATTAGAAAGAGCTTTTTATTACCTACAACTTTGAAATATAACATTTTTCATTAGGATTCTTAGTTTTTCCGGAAATCGAGAAAACCCATTTTTTACCGTTAAATACCCACGCCCATAAATTATTTTTCCCTTAATTTTTATAATATTCCCCTCCTTTTCTAATGGGTTTCATTCTACTATAATTTATTTTCACTTTTCATCATTTTTAGAGGCATCTGCACTGGCCTATATCTAGTAAGTCTTTACTTAATATATTAGTGACTTTTAAGCCAGTTTTCTGTGTTTGTTAATGTTAATTGCTTGTAATATATACCTTTTAATGGCTCGTCGTATAAGCCTCGGCTCGGCGAGCACGTCATCCGCTTCATCGGGCGCGCGTTCCTCTCTCGGCTCGCACTCGCTGAGGTCTGACAGACTGTAGCTCTTACGAAGTTGTTGTACTAAACCACCGCCGCCCTGGAGGGTTTGTTTTGTTTTTGAATTTGGAATGTTTTTATTTTAAAAGATTATATGCAACCAAAACGGTTTAATATAAAGATTTTCAATAAGAACATGGTATTGAATAGGTTTCAGCGTCGTTTGGATTTTTTTCAAATTAAGAACATGTATTTTCTTATTTGTCTTTTCGTAATTAACGAACTTTAGTACTTGCAGCTTTTAGTCAAAAATCCCCATGACCATTTTTCGCATCATAGTTATAAAAATGTTAAGACAAGTTTTTTGATTATTTAGATAGTCCTGTATATTAGAATAAGATTTAGTATGTCTATTGTTTTTTATAGTCTACAGACAATACTTGTTTTGCATTATTTACTACACCTACATGTGACAGAAACGATGTGAATATGTACAAAGTAAATATTTTAGCGACGTGAGCAAGCGGAATTAAATAGTTTATTACAAAAAAAAAAAACAACAACAAAATTGTACTTACTTGATCGTGATGTTTTGGTAGCATGCTCTAGCGATGGTTTCAAATGTTTTAAAAAGAAAATAAAAAAAAACTCAACACACTATATTTTATTTAAAAGATACAAAAAAATATATGGTTTAATCTAAATCAGTCATACCTCATAACACTAAGAACACAACATACAAAGCCGATGGCATGCAACGACTGTTGACTCAGTCAGTAAAGAAATTTGGTTACCATAGACAATAAAATAAAAGAAGTTAAAAAAAAACTGAGTATGAACTAAAGATAGAACTAGGAACGTAATGTACAAAAATTTATTATTTAAAACGTTATTTCCCCTAAGAATCTAGAACCTAAATCACAGTTTGGCTAGAGATCAGTCGACTTCGACGGGTTTATCATCAATGGCTGCTTGGCTTCTAGTACGGCGTCCTCTTGACCTGCTTCTAGGTTTTTTCTCAACATTCTTACGTTTCCTCAATACATTGCCGCGACTTCTAGCCGAGGAAGTTTCGTTATCAGGATCGTTGTTGCAATCACCGTCGCCGTTCTGATCCAATTCAACAATTTCCACAATACCCGGCATATCTGAACGCTGTAGTTCCATATCTTCATGAGCCGGGTAATCGATGACGTCACGACCTTGTATCCTGGCCATTTCCGGCCCCGGTAGGTTCAAGTTCTGATACACGGACAGGGGAAACGGAATAGAAGAGGTGGGAGGGAGGGATTGAAAAAGCGTGTTAATAAAATAAAAAAAAACAAAATGAATTAAATCAAGCTTTATATTAAGCTTTGCGGCGTGTTTGATGACGAAATATTAAGTTTAGAAGCTGTGCTGGGGAATTTCGTGATCAAGCATGCCGGGCATATAACAATGTGTGATATTGTGAACAACTAATATCTAAATTACTTTGTATTTGTTACGGGTTACACCGAAATCCTTAGTATCACAATGATCGTTCATTTAGAATAATTGAGCAATTTTTTTTTATGAAAATCACTCAAAAATTCAAAAGGAGATCTTATGTGATGTTAAGTTATGACAAGCATGCTATTATAATAGTGTATGGCTTACTTTGATTGCAGTTTGCATGATAACAGTGGTGGCATAGTTAACTCCTTTGGTACCCAGATTTAGTACCGTGTGGTAACCCTGATCTTTGGCTTTTGCTATGTATTCATCGATCTCCTGAAATTAATAATCAAAAATATCAAACATACATGTATTGTAGGGTTGTCAACATCTCATATTATCGGAAAAAATTAAATATTGTGATGGCTTATATAAAGTGCGACATTTAACGGTTATTAGCAGTTAGGAAATTAGAAATCAATTACAACCTTCTGCTATGAAGAAACGGTTTAGAAAGTGACGCTTTAAACGAAATTCAATGTCACGATTTATATTTAAAGGGATCATTAATTTTTGTAAATTTTTTTTAGTTAATAATGGCAACTAGCATTTGAATTTCTAATATCGACAAATTTGTTCACAGTTTTTAATGTTTTCCATTAGAAGTTATGTTATTAATAAGTAGAAATATCAATTTGTATAGTAAATCAAATTGATTTATACTGAGACAAGAACGTTTAAAAATACATAGTAATCTGGAGAAATTTTGTTTTTACAACATTTTATGTTAATAATAACATATCACAAATGTTGACAATTTAAGACTACAGATCGTTTCTAGTCACGTAAGAGTACAGGAAGCCAGTCGTTTTATTGTCCGTTATTTACAGGTCCCTATTAAACTTGTCATACGACTTTATATAGGGGCTAAGAAAAAATGGTCATACATTATCAACTTAAAGGTTGAAACTAATTGTCTTTGACGTTCGTTATACAAATTTTCTTTTTCTAAAAATTCAAAATATATTTTTTTTATGAATACTGGCAACATTTTTTCGGTAATCAAACAATGTTTAGTAAAAAAAAAAAATTAAAATCAATATATAAATATGAATCACCTGTTCCCGCCTGCATAGCGCCGGGTGTACAAACTTCCTATACAGTATCGATGATCCCTTGGTAGCTGGTGACAGAAGCCACAACACTATGACGATCTTCACCTCGTAGTAGAACGGGAACCATGATAGGAACACGTCAGTGAAGGTCTCCGTGCATGTGAACAACGCGAATACTATCCAATACATCATCCATTTTACCTGGAACACATAATAAGATATAAGATTTTCACGAGTTTCATGCATTTATATGAAACTAATATATTTCGAATGTACTACGCGATCTTATTTTTGATAAAAAACTACATACTCCTGCTTTTCGGCTACTTTTCTTGCTGAAAAGTAGTGATCACGGGAAAACGAGATGTGAGTGTCTGTCAATTGGTCTTATTGTTATTGTTGATAAATATGTAGTTTTTTAACATATATAAAGTCGCGTAGTACATCCGAAAAATATTAGTTTCATTTAGGTACCTGTAACACATACTATTATCAGATATACATAGCTAGAGTATTAAAGGCTAGTATATAAGAATAGTATATAAGTTTAAGTCTATTAACAAAGCAATAGATCATGTAAAGGACACAGAAGGAATTGAAGCGTTTCGAACAAGTTACGAGCACGTATACCTTAGCAAGGCCGTTTAGTCAGACATTTGTTTTTATTACATTGACTCTAGTTTAAAATTATATAAAAAAAATAGATTGTTCAGAACAGATCGGCAATTGGAAATTAATACCGTCCTAATGATCAAGTGTTTATTTCTTTTCTACGCATATCAATCACATCTGTAAACTGCGGTGTTCAATAAAGCGTACGAATAAATAAATAACTCCATAATGAGATTGAATGAATGTACAATTAGAAATTCTTTTAATGTATTGTAAACAAAACGACTTACGTATTCTTTTAAATTCTTCGTCCTCACAGCTTTGTATGACGCATACGCCGGATAGAGTGTCCCAAATACCAATCTGCAAAACGGATACAGGAGAAAATAAGATAACATCCTTGGTGCGAAGAATCCCGTGGTAACGGCTAGGAAGCCGAAATTGGCGCAGGTCACACTAGGTATACATTTGCTGATAGCCACTCCCAAATTGAAGACGAATCTATTCAACAGCTTCTCTCTTTGATAGAAAGAAGTGTTTATATCACGAGCGTATACAACAGCATCTCTTTGATCGTCTAGTTTTGTGACAATATGCTTCACGCTGTTGAGTCCTAGGGATAGAATCGGCAGACCGGTGTTGTCACGGCAACGAGCACGCCCTGCCTCCATGGACACGAGCGAAACATCTAGTTATTGTTTATTTACACTGATCTTATAACAATGTCTGAACAAGCGCTATGATCTATATGCTCGCCGTCTGAATGTTTCATTAAGACTGCTATAGCCTATATGGATTGCTCTCAGTGTAATTGCGTGTTGCTTCGTATCAATATTTAGGTTAAATATAAGATGTGCACGTTAAGAACGTCTGAGTTATAGTTAATATATGATTGCAATAATGTTTCCTAATTCCTATATTCGCTATTAAAACAATTTAAATATTTTATGGATGATTTTATAGTAACTTATTACACGACCTTAAATAAATAAATTATGGATAAAAATATATTTATTTTTGTAAGAGTAACTTTACTGATTTGGATATAAAGAGGCAGTATAAGGCGGATTGTGCAAGTGATCGTGGGCGAATCAAAATATGACGAATACTAAAAGAATTTGGAATAACAGAACCGCTCATTATAAAAAAAGACCACATTAAAGTGTCTCATTGTAATTTTGTATTAAACACATCAAATGTGTTCCATTATTACGTCCGGTTGGTACATTTTTATTTAATTCCACGTCATTATTCACCATACATAAAAAAACTAGAGTGCGTGAAGTGAACACATTCTATCATATACCATATTAAATGCATTATAAGTAGGCATCTATATTGTTTTCAATAATAAAAAGGTAGTTATTTTAAATCATTTTAGTAAGCATGACCAATAATTTCAAAATAAATAATATGAAAAATTTACGAGCTTTATAACAAATAAAGCCCGTAAATTTGTTTTCTTGTTCAGTGAAATTAATTTTATAAGAGGAATCTATACTAATATTATAAAGCTGAAGAGTTTGTTTGTTTGTTTGAAAGCGCTAATCTCCGAAACTACTGGTTCGAATTGAATAATTCTTTTTGTGTTGGATAGTCCAGTTATCGAGGAAGGCTGTGGGCTATATAACATCACGCTAGGACCAATAGGAGCAAAGATATAGTGGTAAATGTGTAAAAAACGGGAGAAATTATTTCATCTTTGAAGCCTTCCGTTGCGTGCGCCGTGAAAACGGTTCAAGATACACAAAAAATATGTATTAAAGAATAATAGCTCTTTTAATGATCTAAAAAACAGTCCGCGACAGTATATGTCTATCTTTTAAGATTAACTCACAAAAACCGTTTTTATGGTACCTAATTTGGTCGAAATAATTTAAGATGTATCAACATAATAATATTAGTCTTTATTCAAATAAACAAATAAATATGTTGTTGGTTAAGAGTACTTCATTGTGAATTACAAAAATATAGGTTTTATCCTGAAAATTCTACGGGAACTCGACCATTCCGAAAACCCCGCAAGAACGGGAACTATGTGGGAAGAACCAAAAATCTGCCGGAAGTCACTATTCCACGCGGACGGAGTCGCGGCAAAAGCTAGTAATTATATATCGATGTCACATTTGTATGCTTAGTCCGAGTTTGTATCTTCACGCAACATACGGAGCGTTGCCCGTTTCTCCTTCAATAACCTTAATACTATAATATACGAAGATTTTTCAGTGAAAACTGTCAACGCTACGTGTGTAGTGTGAAGATGCCAAATTGGACTAAGAATACGGTATGCAACACGACGGAAATTATCAACGCGAAGGAGAATAACTCAACATACGCGGGACGTATGATATCCGGGACAGTTTAGCATTTATCTACTTTGATTCAAATAACAAGATACCTACCTGTTTGTAACAGACTTTTGGCGATATATTTTATGCTACTAATATTATAGTTGTGAAAGTTTGTGAGTGTGTGTGTATGTTTGTTACTTTTTCACGCTCAAACGGCTGAACCGATTTTGATAAAATTTTGTATACAGGAAGCTGACGTCCAGGAATAACAAATAGGATACTTTACATCCCGGAAATCTCGGAAATCCCGGGAATCCGCGGGGCGCAGCTAATATAGAATATATTTTAATTAAATAAGAAATTTCTATTCTAATTGTTGACTACTCTAACCCTTGCTACAAGAACAAATCTTTTTCGTTAAATTAACACGGAGAGTATCAAAATTTTCACTATTTAAACTCATGGTTACTGTCCACCAAACGTGAATTCCATAAAACACAAACATTTTCTTTTAAGTCATAATGATTTCAATTAACCTTAATCATTATTAATTTTAACTGGACATAATTGGATTCGTGTTCCAATAAAACAGCTGTCTCCGTCTGTCTTATAAATAGACAGGACAATTGCATGCAATTACATGTATACATATATGTATCAGTATATACTGACAATAAAGTATTGTTTTGTATGTAACGAAGATTTCTTTGTTCCTGTATCATTGTATTAGCAGATAATATTAACGATACTAACGAATACGTATTAACGAGAACGCTCTAACAATGAGTGGATATACATTAATACGGTTTCTTGATGTCAAAAGGTCAAATAAAATCTCATAATCCAGTATGTTTTCCTTAATACAAATAGCAATAGTATGAGACAAAATACATGTCCATTAATAGGTTAGAAATCATTCATCAAATTCAAAACTAGATCACGAATAATATTCATCAACAAGGAACACGTCGAACCATCCAAGCGTGATCCGACCGAGTTTAGCAATTTCCGTTTACAAAAAAAAGAAATAAACATAATTCAAGGAATCCTTTCACTCGAACGAACAATAAAAATAAATGTTACCAGTTAAAAGTCATAAAAATATTTTGTACGAGAGAAACTCGCTCGCAAATAATTATATATCGACGAAGAATTTTAATAAGCAACATAAATAGAAAATTTCAACTAAACGTGTTATTACCACGCGTACAAATAAAAATTGTGTATCAATGCAAGACGTCGTTAAACCGGCTATCGTAAAGCTGTCTTGTTTTGGATGAAATAGATTTCTTCCTTATATTATTAGATATATTCTTCCCCGCAGCGCATAGCATATAGGTCAAGAACCCCCGAACCGGTTATTGGGCAACCAAAAATCGTTTCAAGTTTTTATAGCTTTAGCCATATTTAGTGGGACATGTGTACTGATCTACTAGATAGTTCGAGTTAGTTTCGAGGTTAGGATGTTTATTACATTTTTCTTTTTAAAATTTTATTTTGAATCTATAATTATAACGACTGATGGTACTGCATCGTGTTTTTAAAAAATACCAATATAAAAAAATATAATTCTTTGTTTTGAGTGTAGTCATATAACATAAATTGGAAAAGCCGAAAAGATATTAATTGCCAATGAATCATTAATCTCTACAACAGTTAATGCTGCTTTCCATTAATAGAATATAACTCATCCTTTTACATATTAAACGGATTGTGTTTCAAATCCCGTTATCCTTTTAGAATGCAAGAACTAGTAATGAATACGATTCCAATAATAATCACGCAAGCTTAGTTCCTAACCTCACGGGTACGCAACGATCGCCGGAGCGTGATGAAAAGAACAATGAACGGTATAATTAACAACAGGTTTATTTATTTTAGAGTTGATTATATGGATATTGTATAGCAGAAACTCCTATTAAACTTGAATAAAGTAGAAACTGATTTTAGGTTACAGTTGACAGGTATACATCCGATTTTGAAATTGATAAAACTTAGAACATTCTAATATACCTATATCAAATTCCAAAATTCTTGAAAAAAGGTGAGGTTATATAGAATTAATTTTTGATTATTATAGGGACACAAGATTTGTTACAAATAATATTATATGATAAATTGTTTACGTGCAAAAAATATACGTCGTTGTTATGTATAAGGATAATATTGAAGAATTTATATTATATATATTTTTTTTAATTTTTAGATTTCAAATAAAGAAAACAATATACATATCAAATTTGTATTAAAAAATAATTATAATACATATATATTAGATACATAATCATATATAAATCACAACAACGTGGTCTTCATAATATATAGTTATTCTTATGTCAATTTTAGTACGCGAAGACATTTATTACGTACACGTCACACGCAAAACTAGGTAAAGGTACGTGCTAAATTAGGCGAGGTTGAATCTAAAAAGGTAAGACGGGTCTCAATAAGAACACATTATGTTCAAGTCAAGGTACACGACCTAATGGCGGCGCAAATGAATCAAGCGCACTCATAACAGACAATAATTAAAGTGAATATAGATTTACGATAAATGAATCACACTACAGTTAGGTGTCAACGCACTTCACTTCTTGAACATCGGAGCGGGCGCTAGCAATGTTTGTCACGGACTAATGGTTAACTGCACCCCAGAGGCGAACGAACAGTTTGATGCTTCACCAAAAATAGCACCCGGCAGTGCAACTGGCCCACCCTAGTAACGAAATCTTGAACGCCGATAGATTTCTTTGTCTTTCTTCAGCAACAATGGATTTAACACAAACAATGAGTGGATTTCATAACTGAATATCTAATGAAATATAGACATGTTGCAATTAAATATAACTATGTATAATTTAAAATGAAATAAATATAATTTTGAGAGTTCAAATACAACTAAATAACACAAGCGGTGATGTTGAAATAAAAATAAGAGTAATAAGTAAAAGCATACTATAGTGCTGCCAAAATTCGTGCTGGCCAGTTGTCAGAGGCAGGCATACTTGGCAGCTCGCCAGGAAAGCGGTTTAAACTATGGTACTTGGTAACATGTGTGATGCTGTAAATCTTTGCTATTCTATGTATCATGTGCATGTAATTGTGGTTATCAATTAATATATTTAATAAAACCAATGTTTACAAAGAAAAAACTATTTTAATTTGTATTAAAAATTGAACATGTGTAAAACTTGAAATTACATTACCTTTAGCTATTTTTGGTAGTGAATTTTTGAAACACTTGTGAGATGTCTATATTAAATATAACATATTGCAGGAAGAAAAATAAGTCTAATAGAATATGAATATAAATACATATATGTATAAGAATAATTATATCTTAGACTTCTTTTTATAAATATAACCAGAGAACTCACATT